CCGAACCGCCATTATGGCAATTCCCCCATCTGTTACGTGGATACCGTCGTTTTCATAAAGCTGGAGGATGTCACCAGCCTGTAAATTTATGGGCTGCAATTCGCGTTCTGGTGTGATGGCTTTGGAGTCGGTGCTTGCTTTCGGCTTGCTAAGATAAATCGTGGGATTTTTTCGCAGGTTTTTGATGGCGATTGCTCCTTCGACCTGATCCCCATCAATTTCTTCGGTTTGGGTGCTGTTAAAATCTTGCTAGTCAGCAGATGCTGGCCCATATAAGCATCGTTGTAAAACGTTGGCGCCGGACCTTCGTGGCTCTTCGTGAATCAAGGTTTCCATTCCTCGTGGCACTGGCACTCTAGCAGCCTGGGGTTCCAGTGGCTTCGGAAGCACAATGATCACCAACATTTGACCCTTGCTCGGTACCAGGGCGTTTTCGACCCAAAGGCACTCCAGGCCGTGATCGAAGGTGATGCTTAGCCCTTTAGCTTTGGCTTGTGCAACAACAATGGTATTAAACTTGACACTTCGTTAGGCACGGTTGGCAAACGGGTAAACCTGTCGACTTACGTAGTCCCTGTTGTATAACAAGGCAACTGGTTGCAGTAGTGGTAAATGCGACATCGGCAACCGCCATAGGCCTCCCCTTTCTTCCACCGGTGTCATGTCTCGGGCGGAAAAGCAGACCCTACCAGCGCTTTCCCGCATATCCGGCAAACGTTCGATTTTGAAAGGGGGATCCATGACGGACCTGTTGAACTTGGCTGTTGTCGGAGTCGGGATCGGACACCTGCTAAAGTCGGGCGGCAAGCGGGGCACTGAGCTGATGACACAACGGCACGCACGTGGTATTCCCGCCGCCCCGCTGGGCGCCGCCTTATCGCGCCTTATCGCGTTTTATCGAACGGATTGGCCCATTCCAAAATGATGTCACCCCACCAAACCAGCATCGCCCCTTACCCCCCGCTTAGTGATGCTGTGGGCTTTTCCCGCCGATCTTTTAAGACGGCGAGTTCAAAGAAGAGTCGGAAAATCGTTCCTCCATCACCGACTTCCTCTGAACTCCTCGTCCGGCGCCTCCCCTTCTGCATTCCCACGACCACCGATACGTCGCCGTCCTTGTCGAGCGTCGGTTCCTGGTGGGTGTATTGCGTGGTGATCCCGGAACTCGACCGAGCGCTGTTCGCGCTGCTCGAGCCGTTCCGGCTCGGGGGCGCGGGCACCGTCGTGTTTTGACCGTGGGTGCAGGTGTCCGATAAACTGGTCGTAGTCCATCGGCATTTCGGCGGAGAGCATCAAGTCTCGTGACCCCTTTGGCCAGGTCGGCTTGGCCCCGTTGGTCTAGCTGTTTCCGCCCGCCCGTGTCGATATACCCTCGAGGTCCGTCGATCCCGAACATGGAAGGCGGCTCGGTGGAGCCACGTGTAGATCGTTTCGCTGTTGGACCAGGCGAGGGCCTAGGAGAGGTGCGTCGATGCAAGCGGTCTCCTTCTTCTTTTTGATGTGGTGGCCCAGAACTCCCTTACCATGTCGGCCCGCTCGCCAGCTCACCGTCTGTCCGCAGCCTGTTGAGGCTGCCCGATTTGCATTGGTGTTAGGTATAGGATTAATTAATGATCAACGAAGAGGGAAAGCTATCAAGACAGACGCCCCAGCCCAGCTGTAATCGCTCATATAAGTGCGGTTGTGCGCATAATGGCCGGTCCGGCTGGAAATCCGCTGACGACGCGTGTTGTGACGCATCTCCGTGGCCGCAATCCCCACCGCCTCTGGAGGCCGCTTGTATACTCACGGAGCCCAGCCCTCTTAACACAATCATCATGCCCACTCAAAATATAATTTCGTCTTCCTAAAATTGTGCCTGCCGTTAAATAGGAGCTCGTGATACATTTTTTATTAATTTATAAGCAAGCGCTTTAAACCCGGGGAAATCCGCATCATACCTATATTTCTTACTTCATTTTAAAAGCCCATATCTTTTCTTTGAGACTCCTCCAGCGTCTGCATGAAGCTCAGATCATCTTTGTCATTTCTGGGAGGCGGAGGCGGGGGAGACGGCGGCGGCGGAGGCAGGGGAGACGGCGGCGGCGGAGGCGGCGGCGGAGGCGGCGGACCAGACGCTTGAGCCATGCTTCCAGATAATACAAAGGGCCCAAGGTTGCTGGATTGGATGATAGTCAGTAAAGGTGAATAGATATGTCTCTTTTATTCTTTGGTACCGATGCAGAACTAGCTAGACCATTTATACATTTTCGGCCAAAGCAAGCAAAACTCCTTTTAAAGGGTTTACCTGTCTGCCCGTCCTTAATGCCAGCCAGTATGTGAAGTACCATCTAACTCTGGCTCAGCTGCGCCAAGTGCAGGCAGGTAGGCTATTACTTGGAAGGTTTTCGTCGAGGTCGGCTGTCCTTTTCACGCCAGTAAGGTCTCGTTAGCGGCGTAGCAAGTCTGCCCGTCGGAAACGCAACCATTTTCTCCGCTTGTGCATAGTGATTGCCCCCGCCGGCTTGCAGGTACGGGCTTAGCCTCACCCATTTCCTTTCCCATCGTTGGTCCGTTGTGGAGGTGTGTGCACAAACAAAACTGGCGATGGCTGCATTAGTGGTTTCCTGCAATGCAACGCTTTCAATAAGTTTCTCCAAGAAATGGATAAGCCCAGCCTGAGCGGGAGGGCGGTCGATCGAGAAGCGGCCACGTCATCTCGCGGAATGATCAAGACATTCACGCCCTAACACCCGTCCGCTAATTCCTCTGCTTAGTAAAACACTTATGGATTCCATCCACCCGAATGATTTCCGCCGTGCATGTGGACAGGGCGAAGGGGCTACTGGAGAAAACCTGGCCATCCACATCCGCACCTTATACACCCACCATCAATACCACAAGCCCAGCCCGGGGGGAGGCCCCCTCCTTGCGTGAGGCGGAAAATTTGGTTCTCTCCAAGCAACCGAGATACAGTGCGAGTTTATCAGGGGTCACTCCTAATGTATACATTGGTACAGTTAAAACACTGTGTACAGTCCGCCAGAAAAGCTCGTCATCATCTCAGGCAGGACGGCTGCCTACCGGACCAACTTAAATACAAAAACACGGTTCGATATGGCCCTTAAACTGAAGACCACATTACAGTAATTTCCACTGACTGCTTCCACATGACGGCAAAACTGGTTTCCTCCTGCTCGCCATCAACTCTCACTGGCATGACTGCGACCTTTTTAAAACCTTTTTTCACGTACTGGGGTTCCCCCATTCGGCTGGATTCGACCAAACAATATCCCTCTCCGGCCTCCTTCACAAACTCCTCAAGGAGCATCGCTGCAGCGCCGAGGCGACGAAAGGGACGATCTGTTACGAGCAGGTGCATGGTGAACCATTGTTGAATGCCGGCGTTTTTGATGTTGTTCCGGATCGACCTGCTGGCGTTTTCCAGGACGTCAGAGCGCGCTCGGGAGCCGACGAGCTCGAATTTTTCGATAAGGTCCTCCGGAGGCCATACTAGTCCAGAAAAGGATTGGCAGATTAGTGAAATTGTATATAAAACGAGAGTGAGGAAAGGAGAGAAATGGCGGAGCGAATCCCTCACCATCTAGCTGCTTGGCGTGGCTCTCCTGAGACCAGATGGCGAATGCAATTACGTTCCCGTTTTTCTCGATAACGCGGCATTCGGAAAACAGCCCTTCGAGCTTGGATTCCCAGATCGACCGCATAACCTCCGGGTATTCAAGGCGGCGTGGCCACTCATATTGGTAAGTAACATCGTCTGGCGTAGAGCCCACTACGATCTCGACAAGCTGTGGGAGGTCAGTGGTTTTGGCCATTCGAAGCTCCATATTTGCCGTATTTTTCGGATTTCGGCGTGGATGGTGCGTCCGTAGATATGCTGCGTGGGTCGTCTAGTGATGTCCTCAACCGCGCGTTCGGCTGTATTCGCCCGTGCGTTGAGGGTGGGCGATAGCCTTGAAGCCAAGTAGCACAGATAAGTGCACTGGGATCCTTGTTCCGCAGCCTGCCTGCTGCCCACTGTCACTTCACTCTCGAGCCAAAGGCAGCGATAGCTGTCCCAATCTCTCCCGAGGTCGACGCCCTTCTTTTAAGCAGCTGCCTCAATGTCAGGCATGTGTTAGCCTGCATATGCAACCTGCGAAATACGAAGTCAGGCTGGCAACTTCGAGTTCCCGTTGTCGGGCTTATACCCGAAACGGTCAGGGCGTAAATGCACTCTATCAGGACTCGCGCCACGGATCGTTGCATTTGGGGCTGGTACACGGTTGGCCAGCCGGTACTGGCAATGGTGGCGGGGGGTGCGTTTACAAAAGGAGGTTAGCTGCAAAGCTGCGCATGCAGGGGCCAGGATTAGGGCGGCGACTTTCAAGCGTCGCGGTCAGCCAACGGATTCCTTGAAAGTGGGTTGTCAACATAGGCTCCCTGGTTGCGTGCTTCGTTTGGGCAAGCTGCACATTACATGTCGGTGAAAGGTGACCGGAGTTCCGTCTTTTGCATGGCGGTTGCCTGCACAGCGGTTTCCTGAGTTGGGAAGCTGCTAAAAAGCAAAATACACCCCTAGGCCCGCCGGCTTGCTGTCGCCGGCTTGTAAGACAAGGCTGCGGACCTTTGGGGTGGGGGTGTATGATTTGCGCATCCCGACACCCCAAAACCCTGCCATTGGCAGAGCAATCACACCGAATTACACCAGCTGCAACCTCCAATTGGGGCGCATGCATCCTGTGGCGGGGCGAAGGACACATCTTGAGTTGGAGCACCAGGGGTGGCTGGGAGATTGCGACGGTTCAGTCCTACGTGCCTGAGGTGTCCAAATCGCCGAGAACGAGCACCCGATAGCAGTAAGCTATCCTCGTAGCTAATAAAAAGTTCAGCCTCCTAACTTGGACAGCTGCGCCAATCTACAAGCCGAAATCCACGGCATGACTGCTATTTGGAGAAAACGATAGCAACGACGGCGTTGCTGACGCTTGGGCATGTGCCTTCACCTGCTGCTTGGACGCGCATAGATGGAACCGTTGCCCGTTAGGCAGCCCGCCAAAGGTTCAAGCTATATATACCAATACATGAGGCTCTCACTCGCTGTGGCTTAGGGGCGGGCTCCCGTACCTACCAAGCCGGGCGAGGCAGCTGCCCGCCATTATTCATGTGAAATTTCAAGATAGTGTGACCTCTTGCACGCCCGGGCATGGTGGACGCCGGGGTAGCCAGCCGGGCGTTGATCTTCCGCAAGGCAGCCTGCACATTCGGTGAGCTTCCCTTGCGGACTGTTGCTAACAGAAGGAACGCGGCTCTGCCGCTCTACGCCCCGTCGCAAAGCCTTGCCAAACGCTTATAAAAAACCGCGGCAGTCGCCCTCCCACCGATGTTTCCCGTCTTTCGCAAGTCGCTGCAACCCCTACGCACGATATATGCCAGCCATACTTGGACTCAGCAGACTTTACCTTTCTTTACCACGATGCCGCCACGCGCAGCGACGGTCGAAGACGATGAATCCGACCATGCGGTGAGCCATTGCGGCAAACCCCCCAAGAAAAGGCCTTACGACCCGATGAGTACCTTACCACAATCTCCCGCCGTGGGCGAAAAATCCGAGCCAGATCAGAAACCGCGAAGTGGGTCTCATGTCCCATATGTGGAGCCCGAAAAGAGTGATCGGAACAAACAAAGACAAAGCAGACGGGGACATGAGGGCAAGGAAAGACAGGACGAAAGACGGGGACATAGGAGCGAGAAAGGACGGGACGAGGAAAGATGGGGACACAGGGGCAATGAAAGACGGGACAAGGAATGGGGACACAGGGGCAAGGAAAGACGGGACGAGGAAAGACCGGGACACAGGAGCAGGGGCGAGGAAGGATGGGAACGCGGGGGCGAAGAAGGAAGGGAACGCGGGGGCGAAGAAGGAAGGGAACGTAGGGACGAGGAAGAACGGAAACGCAGGAGCAGGGGCAAGAAGGGTGGGAAAAGTCTGATGGTTCTGTCCCTTATAACACTTTTGTTTGCTTGTTATAAATAGAATAGACGGGCACGGTAATAACGGGGATTCGGGCTTCTCTTGTTCAACCTTTTAGGGAAGGCGGGTTGATGTTGACCAGAGGAGAAAAACTGGCTTTGCTTTTTCCGCGCTGACACGCTTGTTGCAATGAGTACAGTTTACCCTATTCTTCGATGTCGCCATCTTCTTTGTGAACGATTGTGAGGCTATTCCGGTCGGCGGAAGGATATGGGAAGCGGCCTATCGTGCTTCTGTCCCAACAGGGGGCGACAAAGGTGCAAAGGTCTGCAACAGTAGCAGCGGTAAAACCAAGGCCGGGAAGATCCTAAAAAGCGTTTCTGCTGTAGCAGTCCGCGCCCGCTGCTCTTTTCATTTGGGGTATTCCGTATCGGCCCCTGCAGCCACCAAGCTACGTCTGGCCGCTCCGTACCGCTAATCCATGCAGCATTTGGCCTCGCGAAGGTGGATGTCTCTAGTTGAAAACCTGGCGTCCAATTACCATTAGCCTCCCCACAAGCGGCAGAGCCTCATCGAGGGGTGTAAGTTGTGAACTAGCCCTGAAGCGGGGTTGAGCGAATGCGGATAAAAGTGGACCTTGGGTCTGGTTAATAGGTATGCATTTAGGACAGGGCCCGGAACCCGCCCAGGGCAACCTGACACTAGGGGCTGGGGGCTGCAGCCTGCGTGCCTGCCACGGTCTCCGGATTGCAGCCAGCCAGCTGCACAGTACCTTCCAAATCATGCACCTTCACACTTCGGGAAATCCATCCAATCACTCCCCAGAAGGTCAGCTCAGTGAGCGTCAGCGTACAGCCACCCAAACTCTTTTTATGCAGCTGGAGCTCGGGGGCAACCCGTTCAGGAACAGCAATTGTTTTGAGCGTGTATATCCCTGCCGGGGTGACAACTTCCAGAAAATGCAGAGATGGGTTTCACAGCGCGAAGTGGCATGCGCCGCATACAGAGCTTTTGTAGTCGGGAGGTCAACTGTCTCGATCGGGCTTTATGGGTCGGGCGCCGCAGATGCGGCCATGGGGAAAGAAAGGCGCGGCGACACTTATGCCAGGGTGCGGGAGGAGCGCAGCTGAACCAGGACGGCTCACCGGGACCGTGGTTCAAACTACTAGTCGCGTGCTCCACCGCATCCGCCCATTCGGATGGCGGCAAGGCCCTGCTGCCAGGGCTCCACAGAGTACGCCCTCTTGGAACTTTCGTAGTATGGCCAGCGGTAATTGCGGGCGAATGGAGCTTTCGCGCCGCATACCGGAAGGTGTGAACCCTGGGAAGGGGCCGGATCGGAAACTCTTGAAACTTTGAACTTCGGCGGTGTCCGAAAAAAGCGCCCTCATTCGGAGTAAAAGTATAGCGCATCTCGCTCTCAAAGTAAACGCAGTTATTTTATTATATGCTACAACGATTTGCATCCTTCTTCCTTTTATTGCTTTCCATGCGAAGCGCACTTACGTGCTCCGGCGGGTTGTGACCCTGGCCAGCCGCTTGCTCCAGCGGGGGGCCGTGCCGCCAATTGCTTGGCGGCTGCTTTCTTCCTTTCTGCGGCGGGTTAGAATATATAAAGCGTGGAAGAAAGCTGAGGTATAAACTTACTGCGGGCGAGGATCAAGCTGCAAAGAGAGACCACACCGCCGCGGTCATCATCCTCTTGAGACATATAAGTGGCGGATGGCGCCGTATCGATCCTTGGGCATTTTGGCAGATAGTGTTGCAATGAGGTAGGAATAAGATTGGGAGCCCGGGGCGGCGTGGGCCACTTTGAGCGCCGCGCCGAACGTGCGCTGTTTTCGTCACGCCCGAATCCGACGCCGCTTAGTCAATTGGTGCGGGGAAAGCGTCAAGCCGCAAAATGTGCTAGTTTATGCTAAAGATAAACGACTACTCGTCCCGCTGGGTACTTACCCCGAAACTGAACGGTGGTTAGTGGCAATACAATGTGGGACTGCCAGCGACATGTCAATTTGAGCTACTGGTGTTCGCTGTTCACAATTTTGCAATGATGCCCAACCATGTTACTATTTTAATAATTAGTTCGCGGTTCGCCCGACGCCCGCCGTTTCGCTGGGGCTTATCCCGCGACGCTTTGGGCACGCGCTTTTTTTCGGCCATGGCGGGCTCGTTCGGGAGGCAGGCCCGGTTGGTAAGTCTCGCTGCCGCTCCAGCCTGCTTCTTTCATTGGAAGCAGCTTTCGGGTTGGAAGGCCCCCCGCCGGCTTTTTCCGAAGCCAAGGCCGGGCATCCTCGCCTACCTGATTTGCGGGACTCCGCCCGAGCGACAAACGGCCGACTCCGTCGCCTGTCGCTGCTCATTACCTGCCGGGTGCAGCAAGGCGTCTTATCACCAAGGTAGTTCCTGCGCCTGTATCTAATCTATACGCAATTATGGCCCTAGTGATGATGACGGGCTCGATACATTACCAGACCCCCCACCCATTGATTGTGGAACAGCCAAGCCCATCGAGTGGTACCCACTTTAGATGAGGTCATTGGCAACAATCGCGGGGCACCCCTCCTTCGCTGCCTTTCCATCACGAGCCGAGCATTTCCTCGATAGAAAAAAATCAATAGTAACCCCTACGAAAGGCGACTTCAACCCTCCCGGTTTCCGGTTTGTCCCGTCAAAACTAATCCGCTGACCATTTTTCTAGTCAGCGGACCGGTTCGAGCCAATTGTACACTAGCATAGTATTAAAAAAGGGGTCGCACCACCACCGCCCCCGCCTATGGCAAATGTTTCTATCGACTTTCCGCCTACCACGTCGAGCGGCTTTATTCATGAGTGAACCACCCACCTTGGCTTGCGGGATTTAGCCATCCGATTTTTTAGTCAATGTCTCGCGAAGTTTAGTTTACCCGAAAGTTTGAGCGATATTCGGCAGGTTTCCGTGCTTTTTAAATTACATGTGCCTCTCCCAACGGTGGATATAATTATCCCACCCTGCTCAGGTTCTTTTTTCGTCCGCATTCGCAGGTGGCAACAGTGACTGCATGTTCGAAACAATGGCAGATCTTTGCTTGTGCGCTCCTTTCAGCGACGAGCACTTAAAACGCGCCACATTAATGTAGGTATTCCAATCTTATAATCTTGCATTTCAATGGACGTCAACCAACTCTCATTAGCTACAACAATCTCCCAGAGGTGTCGACACAGCCAGCCATCGACGACGAACATCTGGATTTCTTCGACAATCTCCTTTGCCGGCATCGTCTGCAAGGTGTCATCGGCCTCCACCTGGCTCATAGCCATTATCCTATCCCCGACAACACTATCCTGCTCGGGACCAGCATCAATCTCCCAGATGGAACGAGCGCCGAAAAATCTATTCGCCGCTGGGTCAAGCCTACCCTCATAGAGGATGTGCGCGGCGAGCAGATTCATGGACATGTATATGTCGTCAAACCAAATGGCTCTCTCCACCCCTACGAGTTCCAGCACGGCCATTTTCCGGTTCCTTCTGAGCTCGACCTCGGTCCTTTCCTTCGAGAGTTCGCCAAAGCAGTGATGGAAAAGGAGCTGCAGGATTTAATTGCACTTGAAATCCTCCATCCTGAAGACACTAACCGGGAACTGGCGTTGGAATTCATCGTCGACGAGGTCCACCATATTCTGGTCGACGAGTCGGTGGCGGAGGGGTGGAAGCAGACTCGGACAACTGGCTGGGCGCACAGAGTCGAGGGGGATGGGGGGGCTCGCGTTTTGAAGGGTAACGTGGCTTACGCCCCACCAAAAAAAGGGGATGGCCATGTGACTTACACCGATGGGAAACCGGATGCGAAACCGGCCACCGTTTCGGATGTGGCGAGTGCGCTTGCAGCGCTTTGGAAGTAGGATGTTTGCTCGTTGCGATTTTCTATTTTGTTTTTATTTTTATCTTTCATCTATCAAGTTGTTCCTAGCAGGAGCTGCTCGCCCTGCTCGCAACCGGCAGGCATCACGGCTTTGCTGAGGCCCTGCAGTTTGGAGTCCTACTGAGGCATTTCGCGAGTAGTCGGTTGGTTGAGGATATAATCGCGATACGATTCGTGAATAAAAACGGTTACGGTTAGGAAGGGTTTATCAACTTCAGGGATGACGAGGCGGAAGGTGGCCGTTCCGGCCAGAATGGATACGTGTGTGGTACGGTCCACCAGGTTTTGGTCGATCTCGTAAAATTTTGCGGGACGTGGATTCGCCCCCTGCGGAGTTTGGTCTGATGGCCCGCCCTTATACAAAGGTGTTTGCGGTAAAGCCTCGCCAAGGGGCCCGTCTTTGGTTAGAAGGCTTGCGATTTGCATGGGCGATGGTGGGGCTTGGTGATAGGAAGACGCGGTCGCCGCCCAATTTTGAGATTGAAGTCGCTCTGCAAGAAATGATACTGACGTTAGCCGCATTCCACCAAAACCGGCGACGTTATTCACGAGCGCAATATGGGCCTGCTGGGCGCTAGGTTCGGGCCGCCCGTATCGATGGGGAAACGCGGCTTGTCGGCGCTCGTATAAGGGGAAGAGTGTGTTTGGTGGGCTTTCATACCAGTGCCTGCATCAAAGTTGTGCCCCGGCGAGACTGCGTTGGCACTGTAGGCCAAGCCGGAGGGGAAACCAGGGTTGTACGACGTATGCGGTGCGTTGTCCGTTCCTGGAAGCACGGGCGGGACATCGTGGACCGTGGACTGGGCCGGGTGGGAAGGGGGTGCTGGCGCAGACGAAGCTGCGCGTATGTTGAAACTTCAGGTCAGCTGGCGTTCGTGCAATCGACGCCGGGATGGCATCACACCTGGAAGGGATGAGCTGCTTACGCTGCTGGATCGGCGTGTCTGCACCAGAGCCCTGTCCAAGGTTGGCGTTGCTTGAACCCGGGGCTGAGCGTGGTTCAGGATGGGAATCAGGGTGCGGAAAAGGTCGGCCGGGATTGTAACCGGGCACGTCGGGCGTGTGCGAAGCGTTGTGGCCGGTTCCCGAGTGCTTCGGCTGAGCCCGGAGGGCGTGCGGCGAGGGCGCGTGGGCCGCAAACGCTTGGTATGCAGACGGAGCTGTAGTGCGTTGAAATTCAGGTTAGACGGCGCGAGAAATGAAGGGAAAAGGAGGGCATCCTTACATGGCGCGGCGTTTGGAAGGTCCTGGCGCTGGCGTCCGGCATCGGAGTGTCGGTCGGGATCGAAATTTTCCGTTGGATGAGGGGAGGGCTTCGGCTCGAGCAAAGTCGGTGTCGCTGGGACGACCCGTTAGACGGCGCGGACGAATAAAGTAGGAGGGGAGCCTTACAACCAACGCACGAGCCAGCCACGGTCCCTGAGCTCCCACTGTGCGTAAGCCCTGACTCCGACTCTGAGTGTTTCCGCTTCAAGGGGTTGGTCGGGGTAGCATGACGTGGGGTTGCTGCTGAATCGTGCGACTGCTGAAGATGAAGCGCGTGTAGGCTTTTGATAAGCCCAGGGAGGTCGTCTGCGAAGATCTCGTAAGCCAGTCCTGATAAATATAGGCAAATATTAGCAAACTTTCTCTCCGAGAAAAATACATTACAGTTCGCTAAAATGTACCAAGGACGCAAGCTTTTATCTCTGTAGGTCCAGCGGCATCACGGAACCACTTCCAGACTTTCCAGTCGAACGGGAACCTCTGATTCAGCTTGCGCGACTCCGCCTTGAGACTTTCCTGATGGTTTTCAAACCAAATGTTCCAGTCAGTTCCTGGAAGACACTGGCAGAGACAAATCAAAGCCGAAAAAGAAAGCCCTAAGGCAAAACCGTGTTGGTCCCAGTGATTGGCGATCGCTTTTGCTTCATTGGACCAATTTCTCCTTGAAATGGTCTTGGGCAAAGTGGCGGAGTCTAGTATGGCTCTTAAGTAAGCCTCTGCTTCCTCTTCTGCTTTCCGCTTTTCATCCCGAGCCTTTTCCGCTTCAGCTTCAAGTCTTTCCGCTTCGGCTGCGAGCCTCGACGCTTCCGACGCGGCCGCCTTCGCTTCAGCTTCACGTCGACGGGCATTGGCTGCTGCCTTTTCAATTTTAGTGTGCATTGTCGGAAGCGGATGGAGCCGAAAGGAGGTACAAGGGAGGATTGCGGGAGGCTGCGAAGTAAGGGCGAACCGGGTGACAGCGCGGAAGCAGACGGTGTGGAAATTCGGGTTGCGAAGGTCGGGCGGGGGTGGTGAACAGATAGGGTGAAAGTGAGACGAGCAAAAAGAGCGAGCAAACGAGGGGAGGAAGTGAAATTGCAAAGGCCGAGCAAAAAGAGCGGACGGACAGGGGGGCGGAAGTGGGGATTGCAAAAGCCGAGCAAAAAGAGCAGATGGACAGGGCGGGGAAGTGGGATTGCAAAGGCTGAGCAAAAAGAGCGGAGGACAGGGGGGCGGAAGTGGGTGTCGTGGTGACCGAGCAAAAAGAGCAGACAGACAGGGGGCGGAAGTGGGTGTCGTGGTAGCCGAGCAAAAAGAGCAGATGGACAGGGGGGTGGAGGTTGGATTGCAGACTGTGCAAAAAGAGCAGACGGATAGGGGTGTAGAAGTGGGGATTGCAAAAGCCGAGCAAAAAGAGCAGACGGACAGGGGGTGGGAGTGGGTGTCGTGGTGGCCGAGCAAAAAGAGCAGACGAACAGGGGGGTGGAAGTGGGTTGCAAAGGCTGTGCAAAAAGAGCAGACGGATAGGGGGTGGGAAGGGGAGGAGTGGCTGTCAAGCGGCGGCTTAGCGCGTGATATAGTGGGGGTCCGACATGCGGCAGGCAGCCACATAATTTCACACAGCCAATCAATACCTCTGTTAAAACAACGACCTCTCTACACGCTCTCACAAGGCCGCCAGCTTAAAATGTGTGGCTGTGGGGGAGCGTGTACCCTGGAGCCGTACCGAGTCCCGCTCCGGCGCCCGGCTGTCCGCAGAGGCTGGACCCTTTCGCAGGTTACTTTCTATGCCAAAGAACAAGGACTTCTGATTCGTAATATTCCTCCATCCGACAATCTCGTAGTCCTCCTCCTCCGGCCGCGTGCCTGAGCCTCACAGCCAGTGTAGTGCCGCGGTCGGTGGCGGCTTCCGAGTTCTCCTCCCGGCGCCGCTTAAGGGTATTCCCTCGATGAACGTTCGGGATGCTTCAGGACCAGTGGGTTTTAGCGCTCCGTTGTCGCGAGCTGCTTCGGTAGAAGCGGTGATAGGGCGTCTGCGTTACTCTCCTCTTCTGCCGCCTCGTCAAAATGTGCTGCCCCTTGTGAGGAGATGCTGGTGTTGAAGCTTGGCTTGTCGGAGGGCTCGTCGGACGGCTCGTCGGACGGCTTGGCGTCTTCCCACTCTAGGGTGATTTCCGTCGTTACTTGTATAAGTGACTTCGGTTGCTGGTAGTTGATGCTGACGATGCGGCGAGGTGGAAGCTCGGAGAGGTCCTCTGCCGGGCAGCAGCATAGTAAGGTTATAATGGAATATATCCAACCGGGCGGCTTAACTTGGAGCTGCGCATCAGGGTCCTCCGCTTTCAAGGACGAACGTTCCCGAGATTTAGGTGGAAGCATCGCGTGGAGGGCAGAGGGTATGGAATAAAGAAACGCGGATGCCGGTCGTTAGGTGTTGGGATGTTGTCCGGCAAATGGAAATCGGGAAAGCGCTGAAGATGTTTATTTATGCCCAGCCAGGCAGGTCCATCAAACTCATCCACCTCGCAGTATTGTCTGTTAAATGCCTGGAAATCATCTGCCGCCGGCCGGGGCTTGGTCGACCTAACCCAACCAGGGCAAGATGCAACCGGAACAGGTTCCGAAACAACACCTTTCTGCGGCTTTCCTAACCCTGCCGGTGGCGGCCGCTATTCAAGAGAGCCAAAGATTTAGCCCTGTAAAACTTTCCGGATGCCCCCTCCCCTCCCACGGCTGGTCTCTTTGTCTTTATATATGAATGATCCCACTTCAATAATTACCAGACCTTGGAATCGCTATCATGGCCGAAATACTGGGCTTCTCTGCTAATGTCGACGGTGTCGTGCGAGGTGTGGCGGCGCTCAAGGACCGCGTTGACCGTCGACGACTTCTGTGACCGCTCCAAGACGAGGTTCCGTCGGAGACTCTCCGTCAGCTCTGTGGAAATCATGTTGCGCCTCACCGTCTTGGGGGAGTGCACTTCTTGGTGGTGGGTGTTATGGGCCGGGGTCGGAATGGGCAACCTCGGAATCTTGTTGACAGGTTTGAGGTGCGCGGCTAGACTGCCCTTTTTCATGATTGGAGGGCTGTCATCCGAGTCGTTTGGCGACGCCACGAAGGAAGGCCCCTGGAGCTGTGGCCGGCCCTGGTGGATGGCCGACGTCGACTGCGAGGCGCCGTTGCCCAGCTTCACCTGGCGGTCGTTGCGTTCCAGCATCAGAGTGATAAGCGACCGCCTCGAAGTTAGGTTCACCTTGGAGTCGACGCGTTGGAAGGTCTTCTCGTCGATGCTCGACTTGCCACCCTCGTCGTTCGAGTCCTCCCAGTAGGGCGAGTCGTCATCGCCGTCGATCGCACTCTCGTCGACATCGTCGGCCTCTCTCGTAACGAACTGGCTGCTGAAAGAAGCCTGCCTCTTCATGCCGCTCAGAGAATCGCCGCAGGAAGGCGAGCCACACAGTGCAAACTTGGGCTGCTGCTTCTCGGCCTGCATAGGCTTCGCTGGGGGTGTCGAGGTCGGTTTCGGAATGGAGAAGCCGCGGATGACTGTGTGGCTGGGTGTCGTCTTATCGTTGCTTTTCAGCTTGCCACTCTTCTCGTTCGAGTCCTTACAGTCGGGCGAGTCGTCATCGTCGTCGATCGCGCTCTCGTCGACGTTGTAAGACTCAGTCTTTTTGCGGTCTGCTTCTTTGCAATGCATGGTTGGCGTTATATCTTCGACCAGGAAACTTAAGCTCGAATTGGGTGTTACGACTGGCGTTTGCGGTATACAAATACCAAGACTGAGCAGGATCCCGACTCCATTACAAAGCGACATACGGGTGAGGTGGAAGGCAGCGGGTTGTGCACTAGGGTGGTGACAAATGGCACCCCCCACGAGTGACATCTTCTCCGCAAAATGTGCCGCTCCGTGGTATGTCATTTGCCATCATCCCATAGGTTAACGGTTTATGTTGGAGTGCAGGAATCGCGGGGAATTATAAATTGGTGCGGGGGGTCGGGCCTGGATATTGGCATCTTCTAACAAGGGGATGCTTTTGAATATGGATGGGTTTTGCCTTGTAAGGTGAGTGGTGCTCCGTATGGCTGTCGAACGACCAACAACAAGCTTGGTTTAGCAACGACTAACGGCTTTTGGAAACAACTCTCTGGTGTGATACGCTTTCCCGCCGTACTTTTCCGGCTCCATTCAACAAATAGGGGTCGAGTACAGGGGGTGCAACACACGCGTTCCTCCTGCCGCGCTGGGTTTGTGGGCTTTGCATTGTCATCGAGGCTGGTGTTGAAACCGGAGAATTTCAGCTCACTTCCTAGGGTACAGCAATGGAGATGAAGCCCGCTGCGATGCTATAGTTAAGTGCCGCCCCAGTTGCATTTCCTCGATGATGGCCCAGCCCATTACGGCAGCAACCTGAACCAGCATCCTCGAATCCGCTCGTTTGTTGTGGAGCTCCAGATCCGATCCATATCAAATGTGCACGATAATCTTGCAGGTTCATTACCAGCATATCAAGGGTGAGATCCGCATTGCCCCAGCAGCTGGGGAAAGGCTATGACAGCTATAATGCTTTGGGCCATTCGATCCTGAGCTAGCACTAGCAACACCGCAAAGACTTACTGCTGGATCCACCTAGCCCGCCCGCAATCTGGCCCCGGTTCCCAGGCCCGCGGCCCTCCAATTGCGTCCGCGCAGTTCGATCACCAAGCCACTGCATTACGGTAATAAGCAAATGCATTTAACCCATAAGCAAGGGTGAGGGCGTGCTGAAGGACAAGAACCGCTATCTTAAAATTATACAAAGCCGACTAGACCGCACCGTCATTCTTGCGGAAAACCGTGTCGAGGCCCTCAATGGCGTCGCGCCGAGGCCAGGGGAGGGCGGCCCGCAGGGGATGCCCCAACGGCCGGGGCTGCCGTTTTGGCTAGGCCAGCCACCCGGCGGCTCGCACTCGGGCGCCTCCTCGCCCGCCGGGACTTCGCCGTACTCACAGCGCTGACAGCCGCTTCCGCAGCACCCGCACTTGGCAGAGCATTTGCGGGCTTCCCAGCCGCAGCACGGCCAGCCGCTTTAATCCTAACTACCGAAGCCAGGGGCAGCCCCGCGGGCAGAGAATGAGGCACACTTATCCTGCTTCAGCACGAATCCACTACATTCGACATTTTGTATTTTTGTATTTCGTTTTTGGGAAGCTTTCCGACCACAGCTAGGTCGTCGAATCTGGGTTCTATAGCAGCGGTGTAATATCACGGCACACGCCCTAAAAACGAGAATCGTGCGTTTAAACAGTCCGTTTAGGCAGGTGCTGACTGCAGGGGCTCGTTTACGTGTTTCCTGTGTCCAGCCAACTCGGACTTTGACGCGTCTTGGACGGTGGGCGAACACCGGAGGCGCAGACGTTAATTGAATTATCTTATCTTACCCATAGATTGCAGCCCTGGGTCCAGAGGGAAAGCGGTACCCAAGGCAATCAGAAACTTACACCTCCCCGCAGGCCGGACCGTCGCCAGCTCACAAATCACCTGGCTGGGAGTGACGCTTAAGGCCACAGAGAAGGGAGGGGTCAGCCTTCCCGCGAACGTGGTAGCGAGGCTGGTGAAGGCTCAAGCACTGACTGCCTTTACGAAACGGGTTAACGCCGTGTACAGAGGCCTCCGCCCGGATGCCGCGAGGGCGTGGTTCAAGTCCGGAGAGGTTCCTACACCGTCGTACGGGCTATGGCCACTGTTCCAGGGGCACCAGAACCAGAGAGCGGTGGCCGAACTTAAAAGCCTTGAGGCGGCAACCAAGGCCTCGCTGAAAGCACTCACCCCAGCGTGGGAGAACATTACCCGTGGCGCTAAGGTACTGGGCCGTGGGCTTCTCCCCCCCAGGAGGTGTGGGGGAGAGAGCTAGCAAGGGCGTCCACCAGGCTGCACTCGCTCCCGGCGAGCCACCCAATCTCCTACAGACTCAACCGCCCCACGGGGTCACCGTTAAGGCTAGCGAGCCTGTACCTCAGCACCCCGCTGGACCCCGCCCCGGAAAAGCTAGACCCCGTTGGGCCGGGGGCGGCAGCGATAGTGGAGCTGTTTGGACTAAAAACCCGACCGCAAAAGGCGTTACGCCCGAAAGGTGACCCCGGACCACGCCTCGCACAGGCGGACCCCGAGCCGTGGTGGGAGGCCAACAAACCAAAGTTGTTCGCGCACGTCAAATGGGACCCCAGGTGCTCGTGGGAGAAGGGGCTCCACGGGATGAGCAGGGCAGAGAGAACGACACGGGACCCGGTCCTGGTAGAAGGTAGGGGGCAGTTACACACCTTGCTAGCCGAGGGGTCAGGGCATGGAAATTTCGAGTTCTACCACTCCAGGTTTAACCACCCGCCATCCCCCGACTGGTTCTGCCTTTGCGGGGAGGTGAAAGAGGTAGGCCATACCGACACCTGCGAGCTGCGGAGAGTGCCCGCCCCCTGGAGGAAGGAACCCCTCCTGGAACAAAACAACACGGAGGAAGCCAAGTGGCGGAGGAGAGGCAAGAACGCCATGATCCGGATCAGGATCGAGAAGACCCTCAAAAATATGGGGGTCGACCAGCTGATGCACATCAGCGGAAGTGGGATAGAGGCCAAGGGACAAGCAACCCGGGAAGAGGACCCGGAGGACTCGGAGCCGGAGGAGGAGCTTCCGATCGCGGAGGTCTGCAGATTGGAATAAGGGGACACAGGGCCCAAAGGAAGGTGAGGGGTAGGGTTTTACAGTTGCCTCGTGGTTATAACTTTCCCTGTACCTAGCCTCCTAGAGCCGGCGCAATGCGGCCACAGAGAAGTTGCCCAGCCGCCGTCGCGGGCACGTCAGAGGACCGCATGCTGTGGTCGCTCGACGGGACTGGCCCTGCCAGCACCCGAGGCACTGACGTTAATCAAGTTGTCTTCTCTTGTCGTGGCTCAGCGACTCCCAGGCGCCACGCCACAGTCCCTGGTTTTCATACCGGCCTCGACTCGGCACTCGGATATGCCTTCACGCCCGCTTGCCGTAAAGTTGACCAAAGTTGTGGAAGGCGAGGCGATGTTGGTTGCGAAAGTGTGGTGGGGGTGGTTAGATCACTGAACACTACCTGGGTACTTATTAGGGTGGAAAACAGAACGGTGATGTCGCCACGACGCCGCAGTAAGCAATAAGGCCTGCATTGACACGCCATCAGCCCTTCATTGGACTTTGAACTTTTTATAAATGGAACCCAGACGGGTATAAACGTGCGCGCATCTCAAATTGAGGGGCGCCTCGGTTGCGCACGTTTAAATGGGCTTAGAGGAAGCCTTTTAATCGGGTTCATATTGTCCTAACTGCGGCAATGGCTGGTCGACAACCCCTCCCCCTCCATCCTATTTGCATAATTTGCTTTGCAAGCGTTTAAATTATGCATATATCTAATTGTTTGCACCTAGGTACCGAGAAGTTCTTTCCAAACTGGATGTGCGAGTTTGCGCGACGATTCGCGTTAGGATGCAGTGTTTGACGCGACGAACACGGCGCGATAAAACGCGTTCCGCTAAGCCACGTCAGCCACAAACAATGCATAACCGCTGCCTGGCGCTGCCAAAACCCTACCAATCACCAAGCGCGTCAGCCACAAATCCGTAAGTAGTCCGCATTAAAACGGCCAGCTGCCCCACGTCGCGCGGATCTCTTTCTTCCACTCAAACATCACTCGCTCGATTGAGCGGGCCTCGACGCAATGGCGGCCTTAGGCGGCGTTTTCGATAACGCGCCTCGCGAAGTCAAGGAATACATTTCCAACGGACCCGCTGAGGTCAAGCAATGGCTTCAAAGCAACCTGGGAAACCGCTCCCGCGCCCGCGACCGCGACGGCGGCCGCGACGCAAAGATCCGGGAACTGGAGGAAGAAAACATTAGGCTTAGAGAGCAGGCTGAGGAGAGGGCCCAGCAGCAGGCTGAGAAGCAGGCTGAGGAGATCAGACGGCAGGCCGAGGAGAACAAGAACTTGCGGGCCGAGCTTGACAAACTGCGCCAGAGCAAGAAGAAAAGTACAGCCGGGACCAGTGAGCAGACTGAGCAACATACCGAGAACATCGAGAGACAGCTAGCAAAACGGCACGCCAACGAGATCGAGAATGTCCGGGCCAAGCTAGCCAAGAAGATAGAGGAACTAGAGGCCGAAACGGAACGGCTCAAACAGGAGGCTGAAAAGGCCAAGAGACAGGCCAAACTTGAGCTTCGCCAACAGAATACGGCCGGGACTGGTGAGCAGCCACATTAGGCAGGCAACCGCCAAACAAAGAGCTAACTATCGACTTGGATGCAGTCTCTGGGGTACCTGCATCGGGCCCTTCGCCATCCTCGGCTGCGTCATCGACGGCGAGCAGCGAGCAAGAGAGTAGCGCCGGCTCCACCGATTCCGCAAGCATTTCCAGCACTTCCAGCAGGCCCCCCCGCGAAAGCCAGTCGGATGCACCTCCAATGAAACACCCACTTGAGGTCGACACCGGCTCTAGACGAAGAACCCTTCGAAGTTTCGGTTCGATGACTTCACTGCTGGGCGATGCTCACGCCGTATCAAGCAGCGATCTCGAACCGCAGTCGCCCAACAGTCCCGCCCAAGATGCAGCCGACACCGCCGACATCGATATGTCCGACGCCGCCAACGCCGCCGACACCGCCGACATCGATGTATCCGACGCCGCCGACGCCGCATCCCCAGGCAGCAATCCCGGAGCACAGTCCCCGCCTAGCAGTTCCCTCAGCAGCCCCCCCGATAGTCCCTCTCAGGATACAGCCGGCCCTCCCCTAAACGCCAATACGAGCTCTATGGTCGACCTCGAAACCTTACAACCGCAAAGGCCGCCCTCAGATCTCAAGATGCCCAAGTTCAAGGGGCCCAGCAAAATCATGCTTACTAAAGCGGTTCAGTGGGCGAAAGAGCATTTCAAAGAGAAGGGGGTCGACGACTTCAGGCCTGGCAACTTCTTTAGCGCTGGGGTGTTCCATGAAGCTTGCACCATGAAATCCTGGCCGGTGATTGACCACTCGAGTGTTCAAGCGCTTAACAAGGTGAAGAATAGACGCTTTGCCGTCATTCTCTGCCATGTTGAGGATGGGCTCCAACTTTCGGGGGTCAAGCCTAATCATTTCGTTGTGGCTATTGTCGACTGGAGGGAGGAAACGGTGAAAAACTTGCGGGGAAAAAGCAGAGGTGGACGAAAGGGAAGATCGGGGAAGGGGTTGGGGAAGTTTACGCATTGGGGAATGGACCGAAACATGGCAGACAAGCTGCGGGAGGATTGTGAGAAAGAATTGAAGCTTGAACTAGAAGATTCCAAAAACGAGGTAAGGAAAGCCCCTTAAAACTTGGTCGATATTATCTAACCTTATTCATCCAGCTCCGCGACTATATCGGCAACACCTGTCTGCTTCAATGTTTGACGGGCGTTCGGTCCTACTTCGGAGAAACAACTCCTCCCGATGGCGACCAGCACCTCGTGCGATGGTATTATCTCGAAATGCTATTGCAACACTGGGTTCACTGCTACAACGATGAGGCCACGTCTGCCGACACGCAAACAGCTATAGCCGAAGACCCTTTTGCCGCGGGTCCCCCACCGGGATCTGCCGACCAGCACGGAGACGAAGTCATGGTCGAAAGCGTTCCAAGCGACGGCTCTGTTCCCCAGCCGACTGGGGAGGCTGCCAATTTCACTTCGGCTCAATTCGCCCCGCAGGCCGGGCCATCCCGAAAACGCCTCCCCAACGGCCGAACCACGGCGGCTGGGGGGACTTCGACCACGCCTGGCTGCAGCCCGCTTCCTTCCAGTTCTCCGCCAGAACCGCCTCTGCAGTCTATGCACATTGACGACATGGGACCAAACTTGGCCAAGAATTTGTGGGATAAGTTCGGGCCCTCAGTCGGCGGCATGATCCGCATCGAGGGTTTGTCGCCACCTACCTCGGCCGAACTGAAGGAGAAGATTCAACAGCCGGATCAGGCATGGGATCTGCTCGGTGTGGAGTACAGCCTTGACGAACCGGGCACGTGCAGGGTACGTCTCGCCGACCCGAAAGGCGGGTTCAGTGTGCCGGACTTCTCCGATGCGGTGCCTCAAGAGGACCCCGAACGGTTCCTTAATAACATTTGCGCCAACCCCCCTAATGAAGTCATCGGTTACTACGTCGGGCCTCCGTGTACAAACAGCAACGAGCCGTTCAACGGCCTGCTTCATCCAGGCAAGCTTGCAGAACTGGCGGAGCTGCGGCGGCAGAAAGGCGAAGAACGAGGCGATTCAAAGCAGGACTGGGAGGTTGCCGGCGTAACTACGCCTTACGAACATATCGGTCACCGACTGTCGGCCACCTGCTTCCATCGCGAAGATGCACACTATTGGTCCGCCAATATCAACCTTTCCGGGGAGAAGATATGGGTTGTAGTCAAGCCAGAGTCTACGGGAGCCTTCGAAGCATACGTCAGGGGCCGTTACAGCAGTTTCGACTGCGACCAGTGGCTCCGCCACCACAACCTGCTCATTGGGCCATCTACACTCCGTGCGGCAGGCATTGGATTCGAGGTACTGAGCGCCCATCCCGGCACGATGGTCGTCACAAGGCCAGGACAGTACCACATGGTCGTCAACAGGACCCCGTCATTCGCCACAGCCATCAATTTCCTGATGCCTAGCGATTCGCTATTGCCCGAGGCCGCGACAAAGGTTTGCGGGGGCTGCGGTCTCGAGTTCGCAGAGGAAGAGAAGCTCTGGGACTTTGAACATGTGGGGAAAAATCAGCTGTCGTCACGTCCGAAACGGGCCGCCGCCCGACGCCCCGCAATTTCCGGCGCATACAAGACATCCCCCAGCAAGAAGAAGCGGCCCGCGGCCGGGCAGATGGACACCGACTCACCGGGCAAGCAGCCAAAGAAGCTGAGGGAGTTGCCACCTCCCAAAACGCTGGCGGAAAACCTGACGAACAAAGAGGCGATGTTGCGGGGAGTAAAACAACTCCTTGCTGCCAAAGAGATGGCTGGTTCCTCACAAACATCAACCGGTTTCAAAATCCGAGGACAATGGTTCAGACAGGCTGCTGAACTCTATCGTCTTAGCGTCAAGCATGAGCGCTCTTCCGCTTTCTGTGCGCTACTATCCGTGGTCGCTTTGATGAGTGCCATGGAAAAAATGCGTGCTCGCATACCCCCTGGGTTCAAGCAAGTGCCATCCGATGTCTACAACGCGGTCTTCCAACAGATCGGCGGCACGGACACGAGAAAGACATTTGACAACAAGATGAGCCTGTCTCGCAAACTTGCGAGGGTTTTCAACGACAAGTACAGAGGTCTTTTGCCTTTCGTCTGCTTCAACAACGATGGCCCTTCGACTATCTCGGCTTTTACGAAGATGACTGATGACGATGTTGCGGAACTTCACATGGCTATTGACAACGACGAACGGACAGGTGCGCTAGCCGACTTTGGCAAGGAGCTCTTGGGCTGTATTTTGGAAGAGACTGCTTTCCGTAACAGAGTTTGGGCGGATCGTTCTTACCCACAACTGGAAGAGATGGCCGACGAGGATTTGCTCGACCTCATTAAACAGACAAGGATCTCCAAGTAGTTTTCATTAGGATATGGCAGTTTGTTACGCGAATCTTGCTAGGACAACGCACATTTTTTGCAGTGGTTGCACCTGCTGGCGGTCGTGCACGGGCCACAAAGTTTCCCGACACGAGGAAACTTTGTGGCCCGTGCACGACCGCCAGCAGGTGCAACCACTGCAAAAAACCATGCTATAACAGTACGGCACATCACGGCATGCACTTGATGCTTAGCAGGACATTGACAGTCCAAGCTATATCGCTTATAAATTGAATGAAAAGCTCAATAGGAGTGAAAACACTACAGTAAACATAGTAAATAACTGCATTAAAATGAAAAAGTATACACATTCTCCGTCGCCCACTGAAGAAAATCTCTCAGATCGTGGCTAAGGTTCTTTCCCATAGGTACAACCTCGCCCGTAATATCAAGCTCGAACATAGGACTTTCTGGCAGGCTTTCATCGCCCCTTTCCGAACCTATAGCGAACTGCTGCTTATGCTCCCCCAAATGCTGTGACCCGAACACCCGGTGCTCGAAATCATAGCCCTCGAGCTTGAGTCTGGCATCCCAGCGCCCCGGTAAAGGTTCGTTTACCGACGGGATGAGCAGGCCATTGTAGACTTGCGCCATTTCGGGTTGCTTCATTGAGCCAAAGCTGTCCGTATGCGAGCTGGAAGATTCAAGCATATCTGTCGGCTTGGAGACGTCGGATACACCACCGGAATCGCGGTGCCGGTCCAGCCTGTTGTTACCGGTCAAACCTCCTAGCCTGGTATCATTTCCACCCTTCTTTTTGGCCTTTCTGGTATTGCTATTATTATTGCGCTCGTCTTTATCGGAGCTCAAGAGGCCCCCAATGCCCCCAAGCCCGAACCCATCGAGCCAGCACGCGAGTTCGTCGACATCCAGTGTTTCCGATCCTTGAGTAAAGTGTACATTGCCAGAAGGAAAGCCATCGGTACCATCGGAAAGGGTGGGCCTTTGAAGAACGGCCAAGTCTAGCATTTCGTAGCTTCCCAGCCTTTTAGCTCCGAAAGTGTCAATGTCGGACCGGGAAAGACGGATTGGGCCGTGGCGGAAGGTGGGCATGGTGATTGTAAAAGGGCTGCATGGTAAATATACGTGGGTAGACGTAACCGGTTGTGCCTCCTGCGCCTGCTGCCTCGTCCTGTTTTGCGCTATTTGCTGTTGTGCGTGTTGCTGCGTAGTTGAACCTTCTTCCGCATCAGTGATTACAATTTTTGGAATGTCGAGCAAGGGCAGTGATTGAGGAGGCTGTAGCCGCGGTGGGCCGTTTCCTTCCGCTTTGTTTTGTCGCTGCGGTAGTACGCCGGCCGCAGCGATCCTGGTCAGGAGGTCCTCAAGATGAAATGGTTCAATCGGTGTTGCGCCGTCGTTGATCTGGATTCCGAGGGCGGCTTCCACCGCGGCAAAGGCTTTGTCAGTCTCTTCCCGCGACGAGTCCATCTCAAGTCCAGGCATGGATACCGAAGGCAATGGCATATCTGCCGTTGGACGGATGGAAAAAGTTGGAAAGTCCGTGTTTGTGAATGCCCCAAGCGAGCCGCTATAGCGGTACGAATAAGTGGACAGACGTGGAATTGGCGGCTGCGGCAGTGAAGGGCTGGGTGTCATGTGGGCATCCGTAGGTTTAAAGGCCATGGAGCAGAGTCGGTTTTTCTTTCCCCAGGGCCTGATTTTGGTTCTCAGGTTGCTTGGTCCGTTTGGCTCATTTTTAGCCCGGTGGCGAGGTTTTCGGGACAAAATCATGGCCGCGGTAGAATCGATCGCACAGGTTTGCACGAGCCGAAAGATATCCTATCAGATTTCAATGTTGAAAAAAGAATAATAGTTTTTGACAGACAAGAGACACAAAAAAGTTTGTGAAATAAAATAGGAAAAAGAATAAAACGAGGAAAAAAAGGGATGGATGAATTTGAGATTTTGACCAAAAAGGTATGTTTGATAAGTGCGAGTAACATATAAATGCCATCTAAAGAAACGGCACAAAAGCGAAAGTGAAGACATAGGCTTGTGGATTCCCCCAAAGCCATAGGCGCAATCCCTAATGTAAATAGGCTAAATGGGGATGAAATGCTGTGGTATGTGCTTCCCTCGTTGCTCGTGATGCTTGATAGTTGGGGGTTTTCAGGTTGGCAAGCCAAAAGTGGAGTAAATTCCCCAATTGGCAGTTAGCAGCTGGCTACCTCCTTCGAACAACATCGCTGCCGATAACTCTCCCAAAAACATTGCGGATACTGCACTGGAGCATTCGGCCTATAATCACCCGGTGGTGATTTTATCGCCAAAGGCATGCGCCGACGGAACGGTCGTCGTGCTTGTGGTCGGTTTACACTTGTCCACTGCCGCGGGTCGTGGCCCCACGTCCTGCCGTCGTCCGACGCTGGGGGGTTGATGCGAAACTTGCAATTACCTTTTTCCTAACCGGAAATTGATTTATGGAGCGACACAGATGACGTCTTTCAGGGGCCGGACCCCTGCAAAGGCCTTATAAATATAGAAATCTAACCCGCCAGAAGTACCAGGGCTACCAAACTCCCACGTGCAACCCTTGATAACGGTGGCAACCCTTTGAAACGCTACAATTGCTACCTTTTTTTCCACCTCCTTTGCCGCCTCTTTGCCACCCCCTACCCTGCGGAATATATAAAGCTAGCCACCCGTTGCGGCCAGACTAATGGAGGCACGATGACCTTGCATTGGCGCTATGAACGAAGATTCTACACTGAAGAGAGGTGAAAGGAAAATGCGCTGGTCGCGCCGGCGCGACACGCGCCTGAAGTTGTGAGCCCCTCTATGTGGCTTGCGCGCTTGCGCCTGCCCCACAGTTGTGGCGGTGCCACTGGATGTCTGGCTCGTGGCGCCACCGTCAGAGACAACACTAATGAATCCCGTCATTTGATGCCTACACCCAGATGCGAAAGTAGGTGATCTGTTTGTAATACCGTCAGGCATGCCTTGTCCAGCTTGTTTTGTCCTTCTCCAAACTCCCAAATAAGCAAACACCTCCGTTCTTCCTGAACAAGAGACAGGATCTGCGTGGCACAGAGATACGCCGCTGCCTCTCAACTTCTATGACAGGCCCAGGGTATTCGTAACCGGCCCTGATAGCTCCAGTCCGAAGCGAGGACTAGATGCGGAGCGTAAACGTGCGATCAAAGTTAACCCTACTCGTTAACACGGATGGTAAGGCCGGCGCTCATTCTCAGAGGCTCTCCTCAATAACGAACTTCCGCATGGCCTTCCACTCAACGTAGCGTTCGTGGCCGATGTGGTGCGACGAGAGCAGCCAGGCGAACTCCTTCTTGGCCTTCGCCGTCGGGCCGTTGAAGTAAAAACGCATCGGCCACTTCTCCACGATGGTATTCTTCTCCTTCATCTGCACGCCTCGAGTGACACCGACGTCGTCGAAGCGGAATCTCTTCATGTAGCTAATTAAACGACGACGTTGTTGTTCTTGTCAGCTTGGAGGTCCTGCTCGACGGGAGAAAGAGGCAAGGGATGCCAATGGAGCACACGGGTAAACTTACGCGTCGAAGATCATGTCTATGTCTCTCGCTGTATCCTTCGCCGCCATGGAGCGGATGGTGAAGTTCAGGGCCTCGTCCCTCAAGGACACCGCTGCCATCATGGAAGTCAAAGGCGCAAGCGAACTGAACTGGGCAGGCTTATCCATATACTCCATAACCTTTTCGAAGACCTTCTCGTCATCCGAAGTCGGTCCCAGAGATATGACAACCTCTTCAACCGCATTGAGGAAGACCATCAGGATTGTAGCCTTGTCATTGACCTCGGGGGTCTTGAGCATCGGGCTGACGGCATCAAGGGTGCTCTCGATTCCAAGATAGCCAGTGTCGCAGATGTTGGAAGCCTGTTATATGTGTCAGTCTCAGTGATACTGGGGAAACATTAGCGGGCTTGCTTTGCACGATACGTACCTCGATGCGGTCGAATTTCTTGTTCGGAATCATGTCCTTTAGTAGGCGGACATCCGTGCAGCAAAGCTCGAAGGAAATCTTGCGAAAAGCGAGCTGGCCATGGAACTCCCGACCACGGTTGAAGATGTACTCGTAGAGGGCGCCATACGCATCCTTCCTCGCCGGGCCCCGCTGCGAGTCGAGGACATCAGGAAGAGACCAGCCGGAAAGCGGGTCCGATGAGTCCATCATGGGCCAGACATCCTTCTCTTGGAAGAAGGTGCTGTTTGACATGTAGATAGGAGTCAGTCACGGGCATGGACACATCTCTTAATTGGGT